CCCCTGACGAGCCTTCTACGCAAGAACAGCCTGTTTCAGTGGACCTCCGAGTGTGATGCCGCTTTTCACAAGCTGAAGTGTTTGTTAACTTCGCAGCCAATACTTCGGCACTTCAATCCTTCGTCGCCCACGGAAATTCACACAGATGCAAGTGGCATCGGTATCGGTGCCGTTCTCGTTCAGCGTTCTGGCAAGAAGGAACACGTTGTGGCGTACGCAAGTCGTTCTCTAAGCAAGCCTGAACGCAACTACACAGTGACCGAACAGGAATGTCTAGCGGTAGTCTTTGCCGTGCAACGGTTTCGCTCATACATCTATGGTCGCCCGTTCACTATCGTCACATATCACCATTCCCTGTGTTGGCTGATCAACCTTCGTGACCCATCCGGCCGCCTCGCACGATGGGTCATTCGTTTGCAAGAACATGTCTTCACCATCTCATACAAGACTGGCCGTCTACACGCTGATGCGGATTGCCTCTCCAGAATGCCGCTACCATCGACAGATTGTGAAGGCGATAACTTTGACCACCTTATCGCTTCGCTGTCGTCTGGCTTTCCCGATGCCGTGACTTTCGCCGCTGAGCAGCGTAATGACCCAAGCTTGAAAGCTCTCTTCCCTGGAGCGAAAAATTCATTAGGCGAAGGCCGAATCTGCGTCCGAAATGGTCTTCTTTACCAGAGAAACTTGTCCACGACGGGCGCCCGCTTTCTGCTGGTTGTTCCTGCGTCCCTCCAAACGTCTGTTCTGCGTCTCACGCATGATGACCCCACCTCTGGCCATCTAGGCACCGCACGAACACTTAGTCGCACGAAAGAGCGGTTCTATTGGCCGAAAATGAGCAAAACGATTCAGAACTACGTGGCCAGCTGTATGCAGTGCCAGAGCCACAAGCGGCCCTCCTCGTATCCAGTTGGTCACCTGCAACCTGTAAAGCCTCCCGGTTCCCCTTTTGAAAAGGTCGGCATTGATCTGATGGGACCATTTCCACGCTCCTCAAAAGGTAACCGGTGGATAATTGTATGCGCCGACTACCTGACGCGGTACTGCGAGACGGCTGCCTTATGCTCCGCCACGGCAGTCCAGGTTTCGGAGTTCCTGTTGAACTCAGTCATCCTCCGACACGGACCTCCTCGCGTGATAATAAGTGACCGTGGTCGACAATTTACCGCTCATATTGTCGAATCATTACTTCGTTTGTGTGCCTCCAAGTTCCGACACTCAACTGCGTATCATCCGCAAACTAACGGTCTCACCGAGCGCACAAACCGAACGTTGATCAACATGTTGTCAATGTACGTCGCCTCTGACCACAAAAACTGGGATGAAGTATTACCGTTCGTCACGTACGCATTCAACACGTCGAAACACGAAACGACAGGCTATAGCCCTTTCTATCTGCTCTACGCTCGCTCAGCTCGACATACGCTGGACACTATCTTTCCTTTTGTAATCCATGACGTTTAACAATTGCTGAAACCTTGTGCCGTGCGGAAGAGACCCGTCGACTTGCCTGCTTACGTACACTGGCAGCGCAAGAGTCATCCAAAACTCGCTACGACAGTCAACACAGGCATGTAACCTATGCCCCCGGTGATCTAGTGTGGGTGTGGACCCCAATACGCAGAAGTGGCTTGAGCCAAAAGCTACTGGCACACTATGCCGGTTCTTTTGTGATACTCCGTCGTGTCAGCGAGGTCAACTATGAAATTGCACGTGTCACCACTAGTGGCCGACGTTCATGCAAGACGGAGGTGACGCATGTTGCCCGCCTGAAGCCGTTTACACGAAGGATGCAAGAATGACTCGCCCAGAGGGCTTCGTCTGAGAGAGGAGGAATGATACAAAGTATCACTACCAGCAAAAACAAGGGAAGCGTGGGCAGAGAAGGAAGACGACGTTGCCTCCACTGCGATCCCCCTGAGTGGGTACGAGCCATGGCGGTGATCATCATTAGACTGTGATCGCGGACTCAGGGCCCATTAAAACCCCCATTAATTTACCTCGCCTTGTGTAACATTAATTTACCTCGCCTTGTGTAACAATTTGGTGGAAGGTGCTGGGTAGGACGAACCCAAAGACGGGAGCTTCACTACCAGGACTTCGTCGCAGCCGCCGCCTCGCCGGACTTCCACCTTCACCGATCGTAATGGCCGAAGAGCAGCCATCCAACGCTTCGAGGCCAACTCCGATGGGTTCCGTGCCGTACTACAGAGTGCCACCAAACTTCAGCGGGACCTCAGGAGAAGACGTCGACGTGTGGCTCAAGAACTACAAGCGGGTGAGCAGAAGCAATAACTGGGACTCGAACGAACAGCTCATTCATGTCGTATTCTCGTTAACTGACACCGCCCTTATGTGGTACGAGAGCCACGAGGACATGTTAACGACTTGGGAACGTTTTGTTGAAGAAGTGCAGAAGTGCTTCGGCGATTCGGACGCAAAGAAGAAACGCGCGGAGCAGACATTGTCTCAGAGGGCACAGCTTCCAGCAGAAACATGTACGACATACATTGAATAAATATTGAAGCTGTGCAAGATCGTGAATGGGAGGATGTCTGAAAAAGACAAGGTTGGACACGTTCTCAAGGGTATAGCCGAAGACGTGTACAATTTCTTAATTGGGAAAGACTGCTTGAACTCCGTGTCCGACGTGAAGCACTGTCGTACCTTTGAATCCCTCAAGATGCGACGAATTTCTCCGAAATTCGGCCGCCTGTCCAACGTCCCCACTGTGGCTAGTGTTGAAACAGTGCCGCCTAACGACCTTGCTTTGACCATACGGCAGATCGTTAGAGAAGAGCTGCTTCGATGTCAGCAGAGCTATCATCGCCCCAGCAATTTTCAGGATGGGTACGTAAGCGAACCAGAACCTGTGCGAGCTCTTGCTTCTCTTCCACCATGGCAGCCATCGATAAACGCAACAGACACTTATGAATATCAAGGCACACGGCAGGCTGGATTCCCCCGTCAACCACCTCCCAACTACGAACGAAGTTTTCGCCCACCTGTTTACCCAACATCGCCTCCCTACAGGGCGCCGAAGGACGGTACCACTATCCTTCCGAGAGAAGTCGTTACTCTGAGCAACAACGTGCCCCTCGACCAAGTCCGGTATGCTACAACTGTGGTGTCCCGGGTCATATCGTACGTTTTTGTGACCACCGCCCATATCAGCGACAGTCTTGGCCTTTGTATCACCAACATTTCGACTATCCGCACTCCACGTCACGGAAACCACGCGCACCTACCGGGTCACGCTACCCCTCGCCGGCCTCTGATCGAAGTTTGACGCCACCTCCAGCTCCCCGTGCTCCACGATCGCCGTCGCCACGACGACGCGCACGTACACCGCCTCCGGAAAACTAGTCGGTGCGGCCAGTGGGGGTGAAGCCGCAAGATCACAGGTGCTATCTACAGATATACCCCCGTCAGCGTTCATGTTGAAGAACAAAGTTCGTGTAGTTGTCGATGGAGTGGCTACTATGGCACTTGTGGATACAGGCGCGACAGTTTCGGTGATGAATGTAAATTTTAAGAACCTGCTAGGACCAAAAGTGATGTTTTGCCTGAACCGTGGGGTGACATTTCGTGGTGTAAGTGGTGACGTGTTGTGTCCGGTGGGATATTGTACTGTGGACGTGTCGCTGTGTGGCAAGGTGTTTTGCACCGAGTTCGCGGTTATACCGCGGTCTACACATGACGTTATCTTGGGTATTGACTTCTTGTGTGAGTGTGGGGCAACTGTAGACTGCAGAAGTGGGCATCTTTCTATACACGGTACTTTCCCAACGGCGCTCTTGGAAAATTCTTGTCCGGAGGAATGCATCTTTTCCGTCTCCGTGGATACAGTCGTTCCTGCATTTTCTGCTGTGTGTGTTCCTGTGACATGTTCCAGTAACAACTGTGGCACGTTTGACGCCACGCTCGAACCGATTCCCTCGGCATGCCTGAAAAAGAACATTCTCATTCCCCATTGTATAGTGTCAGTCGTTGATGGACGGGCAGGTGTGTGGACAATGAACAGTTCCATGGAGCCTGCAATTCTGCCAGGCGGCATGAAACTTGCAGTATTTAGACCCGAGTCATGTACGACGCTGGTTGCGCTTGTTGATGCTACGAGCCAAAATGAACATCTAGGCTTAGAAGGTTCAGAAGATGCCCAATTGCTACAAATGGTCAGCAAGTCACTTGACCAAAGCAAACGTCATACCCTGCTCGACGTTCTGTCTAAGCGCTCGAAAGTGTTCGATTTTTCTAAGTACAGCCAAAGGCCCTTAATCCCAGCGTCCCGGATACGTCATCAGATCCACACCGAATCGGCGCATCCCATTAGGCAGAAACCTTACCGAGTGGCACCTACGGAGCGCAAGATCATCAACGAGCAAGTTCAAGAGATGCTGGAAAAGGGAATAATACAGGAGTCGGCGAGTCCGTGGGCTGCTCCCGTCATTCTAGTGAGGAAGAAGGATGGTACGTGGAGATTTTGCGTTGACACCAATGGGAACCACATTTGGAAGTCAGGAGGAGCTAGATAATGACCAGTTTTGCAAGCGACTCAGTGAAAAACCCGACGAAGAAAGAATTGAATACGCTTTACTGATACAATCAAGACATTTCTTACTGGTGACAAATTCCCGATAAAGCAAAGTACTCATAGTCCAAATAAGCCCTGTTCCTGGAAGGTTTTACCTATTGCCTAAAATACATAAGCCCAATAACCCCGGTCGTCCTATAGTGTCAGGCATTGGCACTGTCACCGAACTACTTTCAAGCTATGTAGATGGCCTGATTAGTATACCCCTTTGTTGGACAGCGGGACATATACGTCCCACTTATTATTCCACGCTCTCGGCGCCCTAGCTCTTTGAGAGAGCTCATGCAATCACATACAAGCTACTAGCGCCATCTATTGAGTATGCTAGAACATTCTGTATGCAATTTCGTGGCGTTTCCACTAGGTGGAAGCACGCAACAAGGCAAGAAGCAGTTTATGTTTTTTCACTTGCGCGTTGCAGTTTTTCGGTGTTTTTGTGAGGTTCTTTCAAGCAAGAAAAAAATGTCTGGTGAGTAAATCTTGTCTTTCTTGCACTTCAGTAACCACTTACAAACAACTAGCAGGTATATTTTGTGATGTTTAGCAGTGCATAGATAAACGGAACCTGTTTTACGAATAGTAGTGGGAATCACCTGTTCCACGTTAGGCTTAGCGTTGCGCAGCAATAGCGTGGGGGCAGCTCGGTCCATACTGATTGCTTCTTTTCTTTTTTTATTAAGATAACAAGAAACGTCTCACTGCTGAAGAAGCACTTGAATTATTCTGGAGCTTGCCAGAGAACTCTAACAACAGTGATGATGAAGAGTTCGAAAGCAGTGAAGATGAAGTTTGGGATCTACCACCCGATGAGTCCAGCGAGAACGAGAGTGATGTTGAAAACGCTCCCCCCGCTTCGTCGAGCATGCTGAAGAAAAGACGGCGTCCACCATATGCAGGCAAAAGAAAGAAAAAAAGGAAAAGTGCTGTTTCGAAAGCCGACACTGAAAATGATTCAGAAGGACCTCAGTGGGATACGTCGACTGTTTGTATGCCTACGCCTACGAATCACAGCTTCACGATCTCCCAAAGACTCAGTCCGACAATCACTGCCCTTGACGCGTTCTCCTTGTATTTCGATAATGAGGTGTTGGACCATATTCTAGAACAGACAAATCTCTATGCTGAACAGACACAGCGAAAGGGATGGGTGCCGCTGACACGCGATGAGCTTGAAGCTTACATTGGGATGCTGATCCTTATGAGCGTCAACCGCATGCATCAACTTCAAATGTACTGGTCTTCCGATAGCTTTTTCTACGTGAATGAAATTGCCAAAGTGATGACATACAAGCGGTTTCAGATGATATGCAATTGTCTTCATCTGAACGACAACGACAAAATGCCAGGCTATGGTGACAAAGATTTTGATCGCGCATATAAAGTGCGTCCTTTGATCAACATGATGAACAAAAAGTTTCAGACGGAGTACAACCCATCGACACATGTTGCAGTTGATGAAAGCATGATTTTGTTCAAAGGACGCTCAAGCTTGAAGCAATACATGCCTATGAAGCCCAAGATAAAGAGGGGCTACAAGGTATGGTCCCTCGCAGACTCCGAAACGGGCTACCTGCTCCAGTTTCAACTCTACGAGGGGAAAAACGCTCAAAAACCACTTGACCGCACATTAGGTGAGCATATTGTTCTCTCACTAGCAGATGGTGTCGTGCCCACTGGTTCTCAGTTGTTTTTCGATAATTTTTTTTCATCAACAAAACTTTTGCAAGAATTGCGGGACATAGGCATTTTTGCCTGCGGAACTTTCCGTACAAACAAGAAAGACCTTCCGCCTGAGGTGAAAACTGACAACAAGATGGACAGGGGTTCATACTTGTGGCGAAGAAAGCGGGACGTCATTGCCTACCAGTGGAGGGACACAAAGAATGTCCACCTGATGTCCAATTACCACGAACCAGAATGTCGCGTCGATGTTCAAAGGACGCTGCCGAATGGCAAAAAAATATCAGTGGAGTGCCCTCAGGTGGTCAAAGATTATAATGCATGGATGGGTGGCGTCGACAAGCTCGATCAAAAGAGGAATGCCTACCCTGCAGACCGGCGGTCTAAGCGATGGTGGAGTAGAATTTTCTACTTCATTCTTGATGCGGCGATTGTCAACGCATTTATACAAGCCAACTCCATCGAGAATGTTGGATACCTTCACTTCCGCCTCAAGCTTGGCAGACAACTCATCGCACAAAGGAGCTTCCGCAAGCCTCGGAGGACCATCACTGCCTTCAAGAATAAGCGAGGCAAGAGCAACGGTCGCGCGATGACTGGTGTTCCGGATGAGAGTCGGTTCTCCGGAAACACTCACCACCCAAGCTTCACAGGCACGCGACGGCGGTGCCGCTGGTGCTCAACCAGCAAAAGAGAAGTCCGCACGAGGTATATGTGCAAAGTGTGCAATGTTCCGCTGTGTGCAACTTGCTTCGCACCATTTCACAAGAAAGTGTGAACTGCCTCAAGTGGACAGCGGGACATATGAGTCCCACTTTATCGAAGTGACCTAAGTGGACAGTGGGACATATAGGTCCCACTTTTTCTTTGCAATAAAACACTTCTCGACTTTCAGATTTGTTTTCTTGGGATCAAGAAGTGATAAATAGCTCACTAAAATTTCTTTAAACATGATAACTTTTGTTCCCTCGTTGTGTCCAACAAAAGGATACTACCTCCAACTTTTCCATCCTATCTGAAGGACACTTCTCATTTACTCGCTGACATCATCGACCTGAATATACCTGCTGACTCATTTCTGGTAACATTAGATGTTGCGTCACTTGATACTAATATTTCCCACAAAGACGGCATTCGTGCAGTAGTGGATGCTTATAACGACTCATCACGTGACCAATCTGTTGATAGCTGTACATTAGCCACATTATTAAAACTCATCCTGGAGCTTAACAATTTTCAGTTCAACGGTGTTCACTACGTACAAGTTAGTGGCACTTCAATGGGCACCACAATTGGTCCAAATTACGCGAATATATTTATGGGCCAATTGGAAAATCATTTTCTTTCAAGCGCGCAGACTACAGCCATACTACTACAAAGGTTTTATAGACGACATATTTTTTATCTGGCATCACGGCGAAGCGGAACTAATGACTTTCATTGCAGACGTTAACAACGTTCATCTATCCATTTCATTGTCACATTCGTACTCGAAGGCATCCATCTGTTTCCTGGATGTAACAGTATCCCTTTGCGGCGAAAAATTATCTACTAAAATATACAGAAAACCCACCGACGCTCACCGATACCTTCATTTCAAAAGCAGCCATGTAAAACATTGTAAGACGAGTATACCCTACAGCCAAGCACTTCGTTTCAAAAGGCTGTGCTCTGAAAATTCATACTTTGTTGAAAACTGTGATAAGCTTCGTGATGCCCTAACTGTACAACAGTACCCGCCTCAGATTATCGACAATGCGATTATGCGCGCCGATGCAATTGACCGAAGAGCGCTTCTAAAATCAAATAAAGAACCTGCGCACCGGAAACACATCAATTTAATTCTGACACATTCTCCGTCAATTCCAAATGCTAACGCGATCCTCAAAAAGCACTACAACATAGTAATGCAGAGCAATCCTCTCAAAGACATCTTCCCGGAGCCTCCACGAGCAGTTTACCGCCGATCGAGAAACCTACGAGACATACTTAGGTCATCCAAACTATCAACGCCAGCCCCAGTGGGGTGTCACCCATGCAACAAGGCACGCTGCATACTGTGCCCCCACATAACCACGTCGCGTATTGTTAAGAGCTCTGCGTCGAACTTCACTCTCTGGATAAAAGGCAATTTCGACTGCGACACGAGCAATGCAATCTACTTGCTCCAATGCTCATTGTGTGACCTCCAATATATTGGTCAAACAGAGACAGCTTTCCGGTTGCACTTTAATAATCACAGGTCACACGTCAGGTGCCTGCCTAGCCTTTCCCTGTCCAAACACCTCGCTACCCCAGGCCACTCTTTCGACAACATAACTGCCACAATACTCGAATCTGGTTTTAAATCGCACTACGAAAGGGAAGTTCGTGAATCTTTTCTTATTCATAAATTTAACGCCATAGCGTCTGGAATAAACGAAAACCCAGGGAGGCTTACGTTTTTACCGGCAAATCAGATAAATCGACCGCCGTAGCCCACATACACGTTTGTCCACTGTCGTGATTACGTTGCGGTGTCATTGGTGACACATTAGTTAGTTGACCAGAATGCATGCACACTCTGTTACCACATTTGTGACATCAATGGTGATAATATGCTCATGTATATTTCATCGACAACGAACGTAACTTACCATGACATTGCCTTTTTTTGTTCATTCACAAATGTTGCGCTATCACAAGTGTCCATCATATTATTTGTATCTATGCTTTCAAGTCACCTTGCCCTACCATATTCTGTATAGCGGGCTGCTGCTCCGCTATCATCAAAATGCTGCGCATGTCTGAATATCTTTTTGTTAACATGTATGTCAATATTGTTAAGAGTGATGATTCACAATTGGGGGCCCCCATGCTATGTCTTTAAGAAGTGCGTGTTAGTGTAATATGCACGTATGCCCTGACGAAGGCCGGTCGCCGGCCGTAACGTTGGCAATAAAGCATCGTTTTTTCGTTTGCTCGTTCGCTTCTTCTGGTGACTTTTAACTCGACCGGAATCCAGGAAGACTTTCAAGAAATATATATATATATTATATATATATATATATGTTACAAGCTGCCACTCTAGCGTCACCAGCGCGAAGTCGGCGACGAGAATGAAAGCAGGTTGGTTCGTTCCGTACGCAAGCAGAGACGTGAGAAAACAAAACAAACTTTACTCTAGTGATATTGCAGCATACGGGATCTAGTACAACACTTTAATACCACTATCAAAATACATCAACACTTGATACAACAAAAATACATATAAAAAGAATAAATCAGCTTACGAGAGAGAACTATTACAAACTACACAAACTAACAACAATAGAACTACGGAGGAGAAAGTTCGAAAATATAAACAGGTGAAGTCATACGTGTGATGACCAGCAGTGTTGCGTCCCCGACGATCGAATGCGAGAAGTGGAAGAGAGTTCTGGCACGACTGCGATGTCGGCGGTGTTGCAACGCTGGTGGCTCTGGGAGCCTAGTGCTTGCAGGTGACTTCGGGCAGGTTGAGCTAACTCGACGCGAAGTCCCGATGACTACGTTGCAGACGTTAATATCGCGTCACAACTAGACGAACGGCTAAGTTTAGGCGGCCAGCCGATACAGAGCCACACTAAAAATTTCTAGAAGAGATGCTTGTTGATCTGTTTCTACACAATGTTGGTCAGCAACTAGTCTTCCTAGCAGGGCAAAATCCTGCGCTTAAATCCCCCTCGTGTCTCCTCGCTCTCTTCCTTGGGGACAAGAGACCTCTACATGGGTCTAATCATGCGCGTTTCATTGATGGAAACTACGCCCCGCAAAATATGTTGGCCCCACCCCTTTTTTGATTAAGAGAGGGCCCTCAACTAGCGAGAGTGACAACCTGTTGGGGTGTTGGCATACGACTTGGCCACCAGAGGTTTTCCCTTGGTTTCCCCCATGGGAAACGGTCAGACTGTTTGGCTCTCAGCCGGTGCGTCCCGTAGCTTAATCCTTGTTCGGAGTACATCGCGGCCTTCCACGACCTTGCAGACGCCGCCGCAGTTACAAAAGGATCAAACGTCGCCAGCGACGTTCTAAGAAGAGCACCTCATTCTGCACTTCTCGGCTCCCTTTCATGCGCCCGCCGTTCCCATGGTCAGTGGGAGAGTACGGCGCCCGTTTATTGCCGTGACGCTAGGTCGCCAAAAATGGCCGTTCGTGACATTTCACCCACTTTCAGAACGTTATTCATAACATTTGTTCACACGGAGGGGGAATTTTTCGACAAGGAACAAAACACCACCAACAAGGGAGACCTGAGGACTGTCCCTCTCATACACAACATAAATAGGCAGAGTGCGTCAAAGTAAAAACAAAGGGGAAAAACAATTGTTAGAGTACCAGCTTCAGTTACGCGCAACAATATCAATGCGCCATACAAACAAGAAAACGAAATAGCCGGGTACGGCAGCCATCAATACAGAGTACACTGCACGAAGGTATACTACGAACAAAACGGAACAGGTGCGCTCCTCCACTGTAGTGAAATCCTTCAATGTGCGTTACAACATGTAAAAACAACCAATGCACCAAGCAAAAAAATAACTCAAAATACACTTCTTATACAAGGAAATACGCACATAAAAACAGAAAACAAACGACGAAACGCATAAAAAAACTTGCTCCCGAGACCTCAAGAACTATATCCGGCTCAAATGATCGGCTATCACGTTTTCGCTACCCTTAATATGCCTAATGGTGAACTGGGACTCTTGGAGTAGTAAACTCCATCGAAGTACTCGAGCGTTCAGCTGTTTTGCCTGTTGGATATAACTCAGAGGCTGGTGGTCTGTCTGGACACAAAAGTTTACTCCATGTAAGTACATGGAGAATATCTGAATTCCCTATACCAACGCGAGACATTCGCGTTCGATGGTACTATAGGAAGCCTCCCGTGGAAGCAGCTTTCTGCTGGCATAAGCTGTGGGGCGGAGCTTGCCTTCGTGGGCCTGCATGAGCACGGCTCCGAGACTTGTGTCCGATGCGTCCGTTCGAAGTACGAATGGTTGTAAAATCTGGTAGCCGTAGTATCGGCTTCGTAGAGACATGTTGTTTGAGACTTCGAAAAGACTCCCCGTGGGCTGCTATCCCTCTCCTCGTATCTTTTCAGTAAGTTGGCGTGGAAGATTTTTCTGCCGCCTGCCGTGTCTATGACGTAGTCAGCTTCACCTTTCTTTTCCCGGACTCCAAAAGGGCCCTTCCATTGCAGCAGCAGCTTATTCGTGTCGGTGGGAAGTAAAATCAGTTCTTTGTCTCCGGGGTTGGAACTCCGCTCCTTCGTCTTTCGATTGTACAGCTCCGTGTACCGTGCTCCGGCTTTTTCCAACTGCTCGTGTGCCAGGCGGCACGTTTCCTTCAAACGGTTCCGACGATCGAAGACATGCTGGTACGTCATCTTAGCTTCTTCAGTCAAGTCGGCGTTCGTCCACAGCTCCTTCAGTATCGCCAAGGGTGCCCTCACATGGCGGCCGTAGAGAAGCTCGAAGGGTGAAAACCCCATACTGGCCTGCGGAACCTCCCTATAGGCAAACAGGAGAGGTGCCAGGTAGTGGTCCCAATCTCTCAGTTTTTCGGCGCACATGCCCTTCAACATTAATTTTGAGGTGCCGTTGAATTTTTCCACCAAGCCAATCGCCATTGGGTGATATGGGGTGGTGTGGAGCTGGCGCACGGAAAGGGGCCGCGCTACTTCCTTCATAAGGTCTGATGTGAAGTTCGTGCCACGGTCGCTCAGTACCTCGCGGGGGACGCCAAATCGGGAGAACATCTCGACAAGGGCTTCGGCCACTCGCTCACTTTCGATATTCGAGATTGCCAGTGCGTCTGGA